ATTGCACTCAAATAAAATGCTTCTCTAAATAATGTTTTAAAGTTTTTAATTCCATAACTTTAAAATGTTTTTGATTTCCTTTTAAGATGTCGACGGCTAAAGTGTTGTTATTGTTATCTAAAACTATTTAAAATAGTTTTCATTAATTTATAATACTTGTCCATGATAAATAGACTACCTACGATAATTGTTATATTTATAAATGTTGTGCAATGTTATTTTTGTATTGTATTATATCATATCATATTATTATCAAATGTTTTTTCTTCATTTATTTATTGTAAGAATAAAAATACTTAGAAAAAGGGAAAGTATACTACTGTTCATTTTCTGCAAGTAGGCCTACGTTTTTTTATTATCATGATCATTGTTATTACGAACATTTCCTTTGACACTCAATCACAACGCAATGCTGATGTGTGGTGCAATTACAACTAAAATACGCTAGATGACAGTGTCCGCTTACATGACATTTTGTGGTTTAGTTTAGCTGGAATTTAGTTACTAATAAATAATAAAGTTATAATGTGTGCTTATTCATTTGATCAAAATAATGATTAATATATCAAACCCAAGCTTTAACTTCAGCCTGAATCAAATCTGAGTGCATTCACAAAGCCTGCCCATCCTGTATCTTGAGAGCTTTACAATCCTCCTGACATGCCAGAATCTTACATTTGCTTTTTTACAGAACCATAAAAGGCAAACATTTGGCTTCCAGCCCAGGGACTGATACCAAACATAGACTGAATATGGGAAAGAGTTGTTAGCAAATACAGTAGGTGCATTCCACATCCGTGAAACTCAAACAAGGGGATAGTTTTCTGAATAAACAACCATGCGCAGGTAACAAAAGGCGACTTTGTGTATTCTTCCTGCCGTGTCTTCTCAGATGACACACACTTTGAGGAACGGTTTGCTTCAGATCTGTGTCGCACTTCACTAAAGATTTGTCATGTGCCTTATCTTTTGTTGATATGTTTAGCATGCAAATGTCACCCCACTGTATTACACAGAGAAAAGACGGTATGCTACACACACACACACACACACAGCGTACTCTATATGGAAACATCTGACTCTTCTCATGAACTTATTACTGATTCAAACAATCCAACTCATCTTTCTCACCCAACAATTGAAGCCACTTAGAAAAATGCCATAGTTATCATTTTAAGATAGGCCTTGTAGCTAATTGGAACCTGTTACAGTCAGATATAAATTCATAAAGTGCATCTACAGCTTGGGCCAAACAGCTTGACATTCATTGCACAGCATTGAGATGCTGAGTGAGTTGTTGTTTCTCTCTAAAGCCTGCGGCAATATGTCAGTCAAGAAGTATGGGCTGTTACTGGCTCAGGTGACCTTTCAATGAATGGAATTACGATACAAAAAGGAACATATTTTGTTTTATCCTTTATGAAGCTTACTGTGGATGTCAGCAATTAATGTTCACAGTTTAGATTCACAGGTTGCATTATAACTGTTAGGGATTTGATTTTAGTTGATTTTCATAATTTTTCTGGTCATTTATGATTTCTGCATAAGGAATTTTTAATCATTTTAGATAACATTCCATGCCATGAAATTATGAACATAACTACAAAAAGCACAAAATTACATTTTTTAGGATTGGAGATAACAATTTAAAATTATAATATAATAATACAGATAATATAATTTATATTTTAATCTAATATAATTATTAATTCACAATTAATCGCATCTAACATAAAAGTTTTTGTTTATATAATTTGTGTTTGAGTGTGTGTGTATATATATATATATATATATATATACAACCCGAATTCCAGAAAAGTTGGGACGTTTTTTAAATTTGAATAAAATTAAAACTATACGACTTTCAAATCACATGAGCCAATATTTTATTCACAATAGAACATAGATAACATAACAAATGTTTAAACGGAGAAATTGTACACTTTTATCCACTAAATGAGCTCATTTCAAATTTGATGCCTGCTACATGTCTCAAAATAGTTGGGACGGGGACACGTTTACCATGGTGCAACATCTCCTCTTCTTTTCAAAACAGTATGAAGACGTCTGGGCATCGAGTTTATGAGTGTCTGGAGTTTTGGTGTTGGAATTTGGTCCCATTCTTGCCTTATATAGGTTTCCAGCTGCTGAAGTGTTCGTGGTCGCCTTTGACGCATTTTTCGTTTAATGATGCGCCAAATGTTCTCTATAGGTGAAAGATCTGGACTGCAGGCAAGGCCAATTCAGAACCCGGACTCTTCTACGACGAAGCCATGCTGTTGTAATATCTGCAGTATGTGGTTTTGCATTGTCCTGCTGAAATACACAAGGCCTTCCCTGAAATAGACGTTGTCTGGAGGGGAGCATATGTTGCTCTAAAACCTTTATATAGCTTTCAGCATTCATAGTGCCTCCCAAAACATGCAAGCTGCCCATACCGTATGCACTTATGCACCCCATACCATCAGAGATGCTGGCTTTTGAACTGAACGCTGATAACACGATGGAAGGTCTCCCCTTCTTTTGTCCGGAGGACACGGCGTCCGTGATTTCCAACAAAAATGTCAAATTTGGACTCGTTTGACCATAGAATACTTTTCCACTTTGAAATAGTCCATTTTAAATGAGCCTTGGCCCACAGGACACGACGGCGCTTCTGGACCATGTTCACATATGGCTTCCTTTTTGCATGATAGAGCTTTAGTTGGCATCTGGAGATGGCACGGCGGATTGTGTTTACCGACAGTGGTTTCTGGAAGTATTCCTGGGCCTATTTAGTAATATCATTCACACAATCATGCCGATGAGTGATGCAGTGTAGTCTGAGGGCCGAAGACCACGGGATCCAATAAAGGTCTTCGCCTTTGTCCCTTACGCACAGAGATTTCTCCAGTTTCTCTGAATCTTTTGATGATGTTGTGCACTGTAGATGATGAGATTTGCAAAGCCTTTGCAATTTGATGTTGAGGAACACTGTTTTTAAAGTGTTCCACAATCTTTTTACGCACTCTTTCACAGATTGGAGAGCCTCTGCCATCTTTACTTCTGAGAGACTCTACCTCTCTAAGACATCCCTTTAATCATGTTACAGACCTGATATCAACTTAATTAGTTGCTATAGATGTTCTCCCACCTGAATCCTTTCTAAATTTCTTGCTTTTTCAACCATTTGTTGTCCCCGTCCCAACTATTTTGAGACCTGTAGCAGGCATCAAATTTGAAATGAGCTCATTTAGTGGACTAAAGTGTAAAATTTCCCATTTAAACATTTGTTATATTATATATGTTCTATTGTGAATAAAATATTTGCTCATGTGATTTGAAAGTCGTATAGTTTTCATTTTATTCAAATTTAAAAAGTCCCAACTTTTCTGGAATTCGGGTTGTATATATATA